CCCTCTGTCTCAGGGAGCCCAGAGCCTCAGCCCCCAGCATGCTGCCACAAGACCAGCCCCTCCCCGGATCCCCAACCCACAACTGCATGATCACTCTCCGTCTCAAAGCTCCTGCTACCACAAAACTTTCCCTAGTGTGACCCAATCTTTTCCTGCCAGTTCTCCAGGCAGACTTACAATTCTAGCCAAACCCATGGACTGCTCACCTTCCCCTGAACACCCCTCACATCTTCCTGCCTCAAAGCCTTTTTCTCATGCTGTTTTCCCTCTTAGTATTTTCCCTTGCATGTCTTGTCTGCGGACTGGAATCCTGCTCATTCTTTTATTTGTTTAGAGGTGGGGGAGGGGCAGAGGGAGAGAGAGAGGGAATCTCAAGCAGACTCCCCACTAAGCTTGGAGCCTGATGCGGATCTCAAGACCCTGAGATCATGACCCGAGCCGAAATCAAGAGTCGGACACTTAACCGACTGAGCCACCCAAGTGCCCCTGAAATCCTGCTCATCCTTAAAGGTCATACAAACCCCAGCCTTTCCCAATGCTCTGGCCCCATGTACTCTCCCATCCCAGAAACCACCATGCCTGGCCGGAAGTGGAGAATATCCCACTCAGGTGATGAAGACAGGCAAGAATCTAGACTGTAACGCTCACTAGCTGCGACCACAGATGAGTTAATATCTCCGAGTCTGAGCTCGACCACACGTGATGTGGGAATAATCTTACCCCCTGAATAAGGGGTTATATGTATTTCTCACATGCTGCCTGGCACATCTCTGGAGTTCTGTACACATTAGTGTCCTTGTTTCCAAAAGCTCCTATCTCCTTTTCTCCTCTTTTGGGATGTACCAAATGCCACTTTGCTACCTTCTTAGGTGTGAGAGAGAGATTTCCAAAAGTCCTTAAGTTTCAAGTGTCTGGAGATCTTGACAGGGGATGATACAATATCTTGTCCATCTTTTTTGTTAACTGAAGGGCTGGCACAGTGCTTGTACATTGTAGGGAATAAATAAGTCTGTGGATTAAGTGCTTAGGACCCATCCCTGTCTAAGTCCACCTAAGGATGGAGGGTGGAGGCAGGATTCTCCTTCTCATTCTGCCTCCATCTCGAGGGACTGCAGGGTGCTGGGCCAAGGACTTATTTCTGGACCTTCAGTTGGTTTAATTTCCTCAGTAAATACTTACTTTATGTAATGTCCTGTGCTGGGTACTATGGGGGAGGCAAAGACGGACTACTTCTACATCTGAGGCACTTGATTTGTAGCACAACCATTCCACAAGCACGAATAAGTACAGTGATATGTGCCATAAGTCAAGGGCAAGTGGGCGGCCAGAGAGCCCCATGGCACCAGACACGACCGCTAGTCCAAGAGAGGAGGCAAGTCTACAGAGCAGAGAAGACAGCAGCGGTCTAGGCGTGTGAGCGTTCCGGAGCAAGGCGTACTGGACACTAGGAACCTCATGATCAAAGATGGGCACAGGGTGCTGGCCAGACGGCAAGGGCTGCTGTTTTGCCAGAGCTCCTGGAGGGGACTTGTAGGGACAGGGCTGGGAAGGAAGGCTGAGCGGGATTGTACAGGAGCTAAGGAGTCCACTGGTGATCACACAACGCAGGCAGAGCTGTGGCTTAGGGTGGGGTAGGAAGAGCGAACCGTGTGATGTCCTGGAGGGGGTAGGGGTGTCGGGAGGCAGAGTTCTGACTTGGAAAGCTACTGTAGTAACTGAGACAGACCCCAGCGAGGTCTGGCAATGGTGCAGAGTTTCCGAATGTGGGAGAGAAAGCAGTGGTGTGCAAGGGGGTGACAGCTGACGTGCTGCATTGCTAGGAGAGACTCAGCAGGAAGAACAAGGCAAGAAGAGAAAGGCAGAAATCTTAGGGGATGTTTCTATGAAGAGGAGCCAGGGAAGAGAAGGGTCCCAGCACCAGAGAATGAAGAGGTAGGAAAGAGCTTCAAAAAGGGGTGGTCCTTCATGGAGTCCAGGGCTGTGAGGCTGAGGACGCCCAGGTCTGAAGCCAGGGAGCTCACTGGCCACTGCAGTATGAGGGACAGGGCTCAGTAGAGTGACTTTAATAGAAGCCAGCTTGCAGGGACTAGAAAGTGAGTGGATTTCCCCCTCTGCCTCATCTGGCTGTTGGAGGAACAAGGACAGAGGAGGGGAGATCAATATGCAGGCTATTCTTAGCTGGAGGTCTTGGTGATCCTAACCAGCACAGGATCGGAGGCACCTGCTGCCGCCTCCCTCCACGTTGTCACATCCTCCCAGAGATGGATGCGCCCGTCTTGCCCCAAGTCTTCCCCCACGGTGTCCACCCCATCTGCGCACTTGCTTAGAACCTTCCGGCACACAGAGGCAGCCAGGGTTGCTGTAGCCAGCTGCGGGGTGATCTGAGGTCCTCAAGGAAGCCTTCTCCCTCCCCCACCCATGTTAAATCCCTTGAGACCCCATTTTCAGAGATCCATTCCTTTGGCCTCTTCTGTTCAGCATCTTTGAAATCAGCCCCAGTTTAGGCGAATGAACTGAACAGACTTCCCCAGAGTATGAAGAGACCCCCTGGGTATGGAGCCTGGACTTGGCAGAGGCACCAAAAGGTGTGGTAAGAAGGTTCAGAGAGCCAAGCCAGAGACCCAAGGCCACCAGCAGGCGTCAGACGTGCCAGGCTCGGGGCTCAGGGCGGGGCAAGGCACTCTGAGATGGCACAGGCCTCCGAGGCCGCCTTCCTCCCTCACCCTGCCCACTCTCAGTCCCTCCTCACCAGGTCTCACCTCAGAAAGCAAGAAAGGAAACAGTGAGGGCTTTCTGGAGCCGGCCCCCAGAGGCCTGTCTGTGCTGGGGAGGTCAAAGAGAGGGAGGGAGAGGCGGGAGAAAGGCGGAGAAGAAAGCAGAGGCAAGACAAAGGGCCCCGTCCACCTTTGAAGCTGTCTCTAACCCAGCCAGGGATGGTGGGGTGGGTCTGAGAGCCCGGCTGGGGGGAGGCAGGCTAGAGTTTTAAAGAATGTCTTAAATTCCTGCGGAAATCAGCAGGATTGTAAGAGCCCCCCTCCCCAACACACCTCCTTCCCAGCCTCCTACCCCTGCCCCCCAAGTCCAGACCTCCACACCTGGGGGCCCCAACCCTTTGTCCTCAGGTAATTGCTGGGCGGTGCCCCTGTGTTTAAAATCCCATTGAACTCACCAGTTATCAGCTGTGGCTCTGGACCACCCTCCCTACCCTCCCAACCCCCAGAAAACGACCCCCAACACATCTCCCGCAGTCTTCACCAGGATTAAGGCTCTTTGTGGTGGGGGGGGCAACCTGGTGCAAAGCAATTATGACAAGCTGGGGGAGAATGTCTGTCCTGGGGCCTGGGGGACCTCCCTCTTGGCTGTGCCTTCTAAATTGCTCAGAGTTGGGGGTGTCAGACTGCTCCAGTCCTCACCAAAGGAGAGGCGAGGGATCCCCAATCCCCACCGGCTTGGGCGGCTGCTTCACCCACCTCCCATTTTGACTAAACCGGGCTCCTCCCCAACTTCCCAATCGGTCCTTATTTTTAGGCCATTCTTGGGAAAAGTGGGGAGAAGGGAGGTCTTTTCATCCTTTTTCCTCTCTCTCCATAATACTTCCCTCCACCAGCTTCCCAGAAAGCAGAGGAAGGGGAAACTGAGGCTGGGGGTCCAACAACATAAGAGCGGTTTGGGGCGGGGAGCCCTGCTAGGAAGGGCTTTCCCCTCAACAAGATTAAAAGCCAGCGCAGATGAGGGAAGAGGCGGCTTTTATGGCCTCTTAGTTCCACTCCCCAAAAGCACACCTGGAGGCGTCTGGGAAAGCCCACCCGAGAAGCCCGGGCGGGGGAGGGGGGCGCCGTTCCCCTCCGCCCGCCGCGGCGCCCCCTCCCCCTGGGCCGCGCTCTAATTGCGACTTCCCCTCAGGTGTGGCCCCCGCCCCCGCCCCCCGCGGGGACCTGGGGAACAAGAGGGCGCATTCTCGCCCTCCCGCCCCCCAGCGCCCGGCCCCCCCCCCCCCCCCCCCCCCCCCCCCCCCGTCCTCACCGGAAAACGGCAATCTGGCTACCGGCGAGGAGGCTGCGGCGTACGCGGGTCGCCCGGGCGCCGTGCCGGGCTCTCGGGCCTGCTGCCCCGGCCCCGGGCCCGGCCCCGGCTGCTCGCCCGCCCCAGGGTTTGGGTTTGCTTCGCCCCAACAGGTAGCACGGGACGCGCTGTGCCAGCCAGGAAACCGGAGCCCGCGCGGAGGGAGGGGCGCACCCGCCGGTCCCGGGGCCTGGACCCGCCCCGGGCCGCCAGCCTCGCGCCGGGCGGAGGTGCGGGGCCTTCCCGGGGCCACCCACGCCCCGCTTCCCCTGCGGGCGGCGCTGCCCCCCGCGCCCCGCGCGCCGCCCCATCCACCTGCCGGGCCACGCCCGGCCCGGGGCCACTGGGCTCCCACGGCTCGCCCGGGCTCTGCTCCGCGCCTCTCGGAGAGGCAAGTTTGTTACCCCGCAGTTTGGGAGTTGGCTTGTCCACCCCGCCTTCAGATAACCCGTTTGCAGGAAAATGGTTTTATTCTGGGGCTTGAAATTGGGGATGGGGGTGCAGGCCTGGGTAGTGGAATGTGAAGAATGGCCATCCCTCTTTTTTTTTTTTTCTCCTCTCCCTTTTTCTTTTTTCCTGAAACAAACACAAAAGTCCCTTCCTACAGTCTGGCCAGGAGGAATTTGGAGGCTGGGGGCAGACTGAGGAAGTCTCCGCAAGCAGAGTTTAAAGAGAGCCACCTCCAGACAGTGTCTGCAAGGCCTTGAGTCTGCTGCCCTTTCCACCTGTTTCAGGGAGCCTGCGTCCAGGGGAACACTACAGTTCCCCGCCTGGGGGTCTGCCCCACCCCCGGGGCCTATTCCGGTGCGGGGTTGGGGGGGTGGGGGGGTGGGGGGTATCTGGGGCGGCTGCCCTGAGGCCCCAGCCCTGGTTTGTGGCAGTCCCGCCCCTTTGCGGCTGGAGGCTCCGATGCTTGGTGGTCCTCCTTGGGGGCTCTGGTTCCCCTCCCTCCACCCCAGCCCAGTCTTGGGATCAGGAAGGGAAGGGGATGGGAAGGCTGGTGAGGGGCAGCTGCCCCCAGTGTCCCCCACTACGTCAGGGGCTGTGGCCTGCGTGTGCGCTTGGTCCGGCGGGTGGGGGCTGAGCCCACGAACTCGAACTGCTTCTGCCTCTCGGCGTGGTTGGGGAAGGGCAGCTGGCCCTGGTAGAGGCGCTTGATGAAGTGAGCCTCTCGTTGGTTCTGGCGGCTGCGAGAAGCCTGGCGGGGCCGACCCTGCCTCGTGAAGGCCATGAACCATCCCTCGTGCCGGGCATTCTGGAAGGCCGTGTAGTTGTTCTCCAGCACAATCTCCGTGAACACACAGTCTTTGCTCTTCCCGCTGGGCTGCAGAGGGAAGGAGGGAGAGGAGGGGAGTTTGTCCACCCAACCTGTCTGGCTTGTCAGCCTTTTGGGCCTATTTTGTAAGACAAAGGAGGGAGTGATGGGGGCTGTGTGCCCAAGAACTTCTGCCCGGTGAGGTGAGACAGGTGCCCTTGTTGGAGAGGCAAAAGTGGGAGAAAGGAACATGCTTTGCTGGGAGTCAGATCTGAACTTAAATACAGGCTTGTCATTTGCAAGTTGTACACCTTGAGCACGGTGTTTAGCCATGCTGAGCCTGTTTCCCCAGACGTGGCATAAAGATCCAGATTACTCTGCAGTGTGTACTCAGTGGGCACTCAGCACATGAGAACACTCCTCAGCGTGGGTGAATGGTAACTGCTGGGTGGAGGAAAGGAGGCAACAGTCTCCTGAAAAGAAGGGGCAAATGTTTATAGAATAAAGACAATGTCAGGAGCCACACAGCCACCCATCTGACCTTATCCATAGCCTTGACACTATGCCCATTGTTATAGACAAGAAGCCTGAGGCTTGACAAAAATCAGCAAATACTTGGTGAGAACAGCCAGAATCAGAAGCCAGGATTGACAAATGCTAAAGGAAATGGAATTCTCCCTGCTCAACAGTACTGGGCCTGCCATTGTGGAGAGGTTACACTAGTAGGCAGTTTCGTAGACAGTGTGCATCTTCCTGGAGGGCTCCTGTGGACCCCACTGACCTTGGGGAGCTTGTGGCCGTGTATGAGTGCCCACTCTCAGCACTGATCAACACTTAACCTCAACATGGAGGCTGCAATCTCATGTAGGTGCTAAAATCCTGACTGATTGATGTTGGGATAGAGCCGGTAAATCAGAGCCGAAGAGACTTATGGATCAGTAAGTGTTCTCAGAGGGCTTCTAGACCCAACAGGGACTCATTTAAATGGAGAAACCAGAGAGTGGCTGAGTGTTGAGGTGTGAGTAGAAGTGGTCCTGGCTTGGGCCCAGTAGAGGGGAGTGGGGTGCTGTGGGGCAGGCAGTAAGATTGGTTCATTCATCCACTCGCCCTCCTTCCAGGTCTCACCTTTCCGATGAGCTTGCCCCTCTTGTTCATGCAGATGTATTTCTCACTCTCAGCACCCTTGATGCGCACGCGGCTTCCAAAGGTGTCTGTCTCCACTATGAGTTTGGCTGCGATGGGGGAGGGGGAGAAAGACCTCTGTCCATGGGGGTTCCCGGCTCAGGGGTGTGGCAGGGGGGCCCCCCAACCAGCCTGACCCCCGAGCTTGGGCGGGGGGCACCGGGAGGTTCTCACACTTGGGCCCCTGCCCTGGCACAGGATCTGGGGAGAGACCAGGTTAGGCAGGCCAGGGGTGTGAGTGGCCTCTGGCAAGGGCTGGGTCTCACCGAACTTGTTGCCGTCCTCCGCGGTGGCAGAGATGCGACGCCCGGTGACCTGCACGTGCTTGCCACTGGTCCGGCTGTAGAGCTGGTACTCGCGGATCTGCCGCCGGCTCAGCTGGTCGGTCATGGCGCCCTGGTCCCTCACGTACTGGTTAAAATTAGGAGACGGGTGATTCTCCCCCTTTGCGGTTACCAAGGGAAAAATAGTGTCAATTTGCTTTGGGTGACACCACCAGTGGTCCATCCAGGGGAGCGGGGTGTGGAGGTGAGTGTGATGCGGGCAGGCCATTGGCCCTGGGAAGCAGAGGTGCAGGGCAAGGTGACGTATGATCTTCCCAGGCCAGTGGGTGAGCCAGTCGTGACCTCTTGGCTCTCCATCTGCCAGGCTTGGGAGACACCTGGTGATCTAGTGCAGACCTGGAGTCGTGACTCTGGTTGCTAGAAGGAACCCAATTTCAGCACTAACTGTGGAATCCTGAGCTCCTGCCCGCCTCCCCTGCCCCTGCCCCTGGGTGCTCAGGGCTCTCGGAGAAGCCCGTCCCCGGTTCAGTGTTCCTCCCTCCTAGGGGTGAGGGAGGTGGAGGCTGCAGCAGGAAGAGGCGCTAGGGGCGGTGGCCCAGGGGCGCCCCCGGGAGGCTCTGGCCTGCCTGTGCCACAATGTAACAGAGGCTCGTGGCCAGTGGGGGCGATGTTGCAGCCTGCTTGCTGCCTGCTGCCTGCTTCCCGGGTTCCACTGTACGTGCTGCCAAGCCTGGCCGAGTACCGTCCCCAGGCCCAGTCTCTCCTTACCTATCCGCAACGCTGAGCGGGAGAAAAACAGACCACTTCCTGCCCTCTCTCTCCAGTAAGGTGCAAACTTGATGCCATTTCTCAGCTGCTGGTGACAGCTTCAACCCTAGGCTCAAATGTTTCTCTCTCCACCCAATCCTGCTGGCCAGACTCTCTCTGCCCCAGATCCCTAAGGCCACCTTTATCCCAGGCCCAGTCACAACCACCAAGACAGACCTGGACCCTGATCAGCATCTGTCAGAGGCCACTCTGTTGTGGAGAGGGAGGAGCCGGAGCCGGAAGGATCAGCTTTGAGGAAGGGGGCGGTGAGTGAGCGGCTCCAGGCTGACCCTGTAACCCGCTCAGGGTTAACCCTTCGTGTGTGTCACTGCTCATTTCCGACTCCAGCTCAGCCACTGGCCAGGAGTGCCACCAGGACCCCCCCCCCCCCCCCCCCCCCCGCGCGACGGGGGCCCCCCCCCCCCCCCCCCCCCCCCCCCCGCCTATGAGAGCAGGGTCTGGAGACTCAGGGCAGCGAAGTGCGACCCGCACCCCACCCTGGAATTTGGGGTGGGGGCCTGCCTCCCTGCCAGGGGGTGGGGTCTGGCTGGCCCAGGACCCTCGGTGAGGTCCGGCCTGTCCCCAGCCCCCAGCCTCCTGGCCCAGGTTCAGGCCCTCCGCCCCTCTTGGCGGGCAGCCTTCTTCTGGCTGTCTGTTCCAGGTCAGGAGCAGAGAGGGCCTCCCTGAAGCCCCCTCCTCTCCTTGTCCCCCTTCAGGCCCTGCACAAAAGCAGCCCCACGCCCCCCCCCCACAACCCCCCAGCCCGCAAGTCGCTCTCCCCGCGGGACCTGGCCTGTCCCTTTCATGTTCCCGCTGCGGGGGTACCTCCCCTTCCACTGCTGCAGACAGCTGCTTGTCAGACGGCCCCTCAAGCATGGCTATGGTCCGGCCTGCCGGCCCCCCCTCCAAGGGGGGTGAGGGGGCACTTCAAGGGGGAAAGGACAGCTTTGCCACCTTCCCTGAGTCCTGAATGGGGCCTCAGCCAGGCCATAAACGCCCCGGCCAGCCTCACCATTGTGCTAATTCCCCTTCCAGAACAGGTTGGGCCCACCCCCAGCCCCCTCCCAGCCAGGCTGGGGGCTTTCTTCTTGCTCTCCCTGGATGTGTGAAGCAAAAGGCCTGGAACGGGGGCTAGAGCAAAAGGGGGAAGGAAAAGGGGGGGGGAGTTGTCTCTCTCTCTCCCACCCCCCCACTGCTTCAAAGGCAGCCCCTTTCCCTCTCCCAGAGAAAAGGCATTTACCTTCAAAAAAAGTCCCCACTGGATATGAAGAGAAGTGGGCCTCTGGCCTGGGAAAGCCAAGCGATCTCTCCCCAGAGCGGTTCTGGACCAGTGCATTTTAATAGCTGCACTTTTATGGAGGATCACAAAAAGGGACCAAGCCTTGCACAGGGGGCTGAGGCTTGGGGTGGGGTGTGTGTGTGTGCATGGGGGGCTGACATAGGGTGGGGGGAGTGTGGAGATGCAAACCCTGAATCTTGTCCCCAAAAAACCTCTTTGGGCTTCACCTCATTGCCCTGTAGGTAAGGAGTCACCCCGCCCTGGCTGGGCATTCTGACTGACCACGCAATCCCCCAGGACAGCGGCCCCCCAGGACATCCGTGTTGGGGGGCGTGGGATAGTAAGTGGAACGCACAAGTGGTTTTGCATGGAAACCTGTGTTTTCAGATACCTCCAAGTACAAGCCTCACCTGAGCCAGCACCTCTGCCCTCTAACCTACCACTTCAGACTCCATCCCTCAAGCCTGGGCTGCTCCATGCATTTAGCCTTGTGTGTGGTGGGGGGGGAACCCGTGTGGCAGTAAGGAGAGAGAAACAGAGACTCCAGGACAAGTAGGGACAGGGAGGGTCATGGAGGGAGGACAGATAAAGACCTCAGTGCATCCCCAAATGTGCCTTGGCCCCTTCTACCCTCCCCCGAAGACTGACACCATCCCCCCAACCTCAAAAACCATCTGTATCCAGGGAGAGGCCAGAACCTGCCGAGAGGAGACTACCCCCGCCCCAGCTGGGTGGGGTGGGGGAGATGGGGAAAAGTTGGTGGGGGGGCGCCCGCCTACCTGAGTTTGACAGCAGAGAATCAGTAGCTGCAGGCACCTGTGTGGGAAGACAAGGCAGACCCTGGTGTGGGTGCCAGCCGTCAACCCAGGGCGAGCCCCCAGGCACTCCCCCCAGCCCCTCCGTGTGGGGGGTCCCGGTAAGATTAGGTCTGCCCCAGGCTGGAAACGGCGACAAAACTTCAGTCCAGAGAGGCAGCACACTTACAGAGTGAGGTTGGGCAGCAGGCGGGTGGCTCCCATCGCCGGAGAGATTTCTTGGGGCCGTTGCCCCCTGCCCCCAAACTCAGGAGCAGATATGGGCAGTCCCCAGGGGTAGAGTCCCAGAGAAGCCAAGGTCTCTTCAAGCCACAGGTTTTCAGGGGGGAGAGGAGGAGAGCGAGGGGAGGGGAGGAGGAGTGGGGGAGGAGGGCGCAATTGGGAGCCTGAGGTGTGAGGTGTCCACCTTCCTGGCCAGTGAGCCAGCAAAGCAGCCACCGGCGGGGCCGCCAGCCTCTTGCTGGGCTACCAAGCACAGAGGATGGAGCTGCTGGATAAGGAGGCTGGCCCCTATGGTCTCCCCCGTTTTCCCTGACCCTCAGACCTGGACCGGAGGGCCCCTCCTCCCCTCTCAGGGCCAGCTTCTCCTGCCCTCAGGTCTGGTGCCCCACCTCCCCAAGGGAGAGCGCAGGTATCATTCCGGGCCAGGGGTTGCTGAGTCTGGCTCTGGGGGTGGAAATTCCCAGAAGCAGCCTTAAAAGGAGGAGCCTCCCTCCAGGGGGCAGGCGGTGGGCTTGGCTAGGAGCGCTCGCTTCCACTGCCTCTGTCACCCCTTGCTCCCCCTCTCTGCTGTCTGGCCACCGGGATGGAGGTGTTAAGGCTGTCCCAACTGGCAGCAAATAGTGGGTGCAACAGGTGGGGGGCCAGGGACGGGGGAGAAGGCGCAGCTGGGGCTGTGGAAGGACCTGTCTCAGAAAAGACAGACTCGGAGAAGAGCTGGTGCATTGGCACAAGCTACTTTTCTCAGGGCCCCGGGAACTTTTCTCCTCGAAATGGGACAGTACCGCCTCAGGATGTCGGAGGACCAAATGAGATAACTGCACTGAGCAGACGCCAAAAGGTGTAATACGTTCTTGGGCCTCACCCATCATCCTCTCTGGGGCAGAAGCTGTCCCTAGGGCCTCCTCCCCGCGCCTACCAGCAGCTGCCTGGGATGAAGTGCCCACCAGCCTCGTCACATGACCTCTGGTCCCACCCTGCTCTGTACCGTGCCAGTATTACCCCATTCTACAGACACGCTGTAGAAACTGAGGCACACTGGTAGGTAGTTAGCTCAGAATGACCCAGCTAGTGAATGGTGGAACTAGGTTCCTAAAGTCCATGCTCTTTCTATTCCACATGGATCTCATCTGGAGACTTTCTGCTGTGTCCATGCCCTCCGGGCTGCGATATCCAAGGTCCCAGAAGCTGGTGACCAGGGACTCTAACTGTTCCTTCCCTACAGAAGGTGGGGGATGGTGACTGTGGAAGCAGGCTCGTGCTTAGGGGGATCTCCGAGGGAAGCCCCCCGCGTCGGGAAGCAGAGCTCACACCTCAGCTCTGGGCTGTGAGGTCTAAGTGCCCCCAGGATGGAAAGAGAAGGGGAAATGCTGGGTGTGGATGTATTTACCTAAAGAGATGAGCAGGAGGGCGAAACTCTCACCTCCAGGCCTCCTTCTCACCTTCCTGAGCTAGATCAATCCACAAAGTTGTCTGCCACCCCTCCCCCCACCCCAGACAAGACCCAAGGCCACCTCCTGGCCACCTCCAGCAGTCCAGCTCCAGCACCTGGCTCCCAGCTCCGCCCCTGGTGCCCCATGGGGGGGCTCAGGGTCCTGTTGAGCCTGACCTGGCCTGGGAAGTGCGGAGGTAGTCCTGTAACTGGGGGAGTCCGGGGTTGGAACAATACTAGAATCATACTGTCAAAACTGGAAGGGCTCGGGGCACCTGGGTGGCTCAGTCCTTAAGCGTCTGCCTTCGGCTCGGGTCGTGGTCCCGGGGTCCTGGGATCGAGCCCCGCATCGGGCTCCCTGCTCGCGAAAAGCCTGCTTCTCCCTCTCCCACTCCCCCTGCTTGTGTTCCTGCTCTCGCTGTGTCTCTCTCCGTCAAATAAATAAATAAAATCTTAAAAAACAAAAACGCAAAAAACCGGAAGGGCTCTTAGAGATTCTTCATTTGGTCCCTGAGGAGGCCCAGGGAGGGTCTCACAGCTAGTTAGTGAGTGGCATGACTTGGACAAGGCATCGGGTAACCAGACTCCCGGTCCAGTGCTCACCATTTTCTGAGCAAGCCCCAGCCTGTCCTGCTTCTCTGCTTTTGCCCAGACCGATGCTCCTGATCATTTCCATTTTCCACATTTGTTCCATTTGGGGCAGGATTTAAACTCCGCCTCCCCTGAGGAAATGCCTGAATCTCCCTCTCTGCTGCGGTTGGTGCTGGCTCTGGCTCTATTCTTCGGGGAGCCCGCGACCTCACCCGCATGTGTGCCTGCTCCTAGCTCCCGGACAGGGTACTCAGGGCTACCTCCTGCTGCCCTCAATCCTGGGATGACAGGTAAGAGCAGATGCATGGAGGTAGTTCCGAATTGGAATTGTGGGGTGGACTGGTGAGCTGGGAGACGGAATGAAATAAGGAGTCAGGTGTGGGGAGTGCCACCTAGCGCTGTCTGGGCCCCAGTTTTCTGAGCCTGAGTGCCTGGTTCCTATCGGTGGGGGAGGGGCCTGTTGTCACTGGCCAGCCCCCCAGCCAGGCCTGGGTCTCCATGGCAACAGATGCCAGCAGTCAAGCTTGGCCTTGGGGCTCAGCCAGGGGCCTGTGCCAGGGGGCTCTGGGGCATGGCTGGGTAGCCTGTTTCATGGTGCGACATCTGCTCGTTGTCCCTTCCCATTGTGCACCCGCAGGCCTGGCTTTCTGACTCAGCTTGCTCCTTTACCCCTATGGGGAGGCCAGTGCTGGGCTCCAAGAGGGGAGGCAGCATGGAGAGTGTTCCATGGATTTTATCCCCATCCCCAGGCCCTGTCCTCCATGGGCTGTGTGACCTATGGCAAGCCCCTCACTTCTCTGGTCTCAGCTTGCTAATTTGTAAAAAGGAAATGGCCATTATCGATGCTGTCAAAACTGCCACCATGAGTACCAACTGAGGTAGACACTCCCTGAAAAGTATCAAGGACCAAAAGAATGGGGGCAAGGGGCCTAGACCCTCTTATGTGGCCCAGACTCAGTTTACCTAAATTTTGCCCCACTCTCTCCCTTGACTAGAGGGAGCTGGGAGGCAGAAGGTAGGGTTCATTAACATTTATGGGGGGAGGTGGCAGGAGGTGATAAGGGAAGTGAGAAGTAGCCTGGGCTGCATTGGTTAATCCCCACCCCCTAGTGCCAAGTTCAACACCCCCCAACTGAGGCGTCTCACGCCTGCTCCTTCTAACAGCCCAGCTGGTGCAGACACAGAGCCCGCAGAGCCCACCTGCAGACCTGCCACTTGTCACCACCTGCTTCGACCCGGCTCACCCTTTTCCTGTTGAAAAACAGAAGGGCTGGGGCTGGAGCTGGGGCAGGGCAAAAGGCACCTGGACCTGTCCAGGCCGGGGAGCCCTTCGTCTTTGTCACTCGGTCCCTACCGCCTGCCAGCACCTGCCAACACTCGGAGGCCAAGTCGGCGGTGTAGTTGTCGCCGGCCCTTCTGTGCAGACCCCGGGCGCAGGCAGGCTGCTGGGGCGTTGGCCTGGGGCAAGAGGCCGGCAGAGGGAAGAAGTCCCTGTGTGGCTGGGGGCTGCCCAGTCTAACTCCCGGCCTGCATTCTAACGACCGCTTTCAGTTCATGAGACTTCCTAGCACTCCTCTGCGGGGCTCTCCCCACTCCCATCCGGAGTGGTTAAAGAGCCGGGGGCCACACTACCTGGTGGGAACCCTGGTTCCTCCACTAGCTCTGTGGCCCTGGGGGCAAGCTGTTTCACCTCTCTGGGCCTCATCTTCCAGGTCTGAGAAGCCGGGCTTAACAGGAGTGAGTCCCGGGAGGCCCTCCAGGCTGCACCCATAGCCCAGCACGCCCAGCACGTTCTTCCTACAATGATGGCAATCTTTCGTTCAGACCCCCAAGCTTGCTCTGCCTCAGGCCCTTTGCATTCTTGGCCCCTGCCCGGGCAGAAGGACAAGTGTCCTTCTGCCGGCTACTCCTGGGGCCTGCCACCCCCTTCTTGTCACTCCTCTTCTTTGAGGGGCTTCCTCTGATCTCCCAACAGCACTTCTCCAGCCTGGAAGTTAGCCTGTTTCACTTCCTGCAAAGCACAGGACAGTAACTGACATTTTGTTGTTGGCTTTTGTTTCCATGAGGCTGGAGGGGACTTGAAGGTGAAGAATTTGTCTCCCCAACCCTGTGTCACTGTGGCATGAAGCCATGAGAAATGCCTGCTGCCCACCTGGAGCCAGATGTGAATTGCTGTCCAGGTGACCAGAGGTCAGTGGCTCATTCTCATTTGTTAGAGGGTGGGGCGATGCCCACATCTGTCCTATGGGGTGACGAGAGCAAGCAGCAAGAACGCTAGCCCTACCCTCCTCCGTCTCTCCTGGCTTCGAGAGAAACGGAGGCTGAACACGGACACAAAAGCCTGCCTGCTGACCTTCCCATGCCGGCATTCAGACCTCCCACCTTCTGGGACCCTGCCTCCGGATCCTGGAGAGAGGCAGGGCCATCTCCCCATTGGCCCACTTTAGGTCTGGCGGGTGGAGGTGTGGGGGAGGGCCAGGGAGAAGCCCAGCAGAGGCCCTGCAAGTATAAGCCCAAGTGGGGGGCCATCTGTGTGTCACCATGGGTGACCCAGGCTCCAGGTCATTCACCCCCTTGCCAGTCCCCCCTTGCCTCACCCGAACATTCTGGGGAGCCCTGTTCTGTGGCTCCAGGAACTGTCCTGGGGGATGCCTCACAGGGGAGTTAAGAGTGTTTACCTGTCCACCTCCTGTAAGAGACCCTCTAGAGACTCTGTAAAGCCTGCCTCATGTGCCCTGCCTGGGAGGGTGTCCTTGAAGGTCCAGGCCTCCGGGCTCTTGCCTGACACAGATCTGCACACAAACAAGCAGGAGCTCACCCTGAACAGGAGGCAAGCCTGGAAGCGCACAACTAGCATCCCTCCTCCGGGGTTCCAATAGATGTCCTGTGTATTTGACAAGCGACAGACGTGATTAGGGCCAGGAGAGAAGATCCTCAGGCTAGTCTGACGGGCCAAGGCCCTTCCTGGCAGGGTGGGCAGCTCTCACCCCTTGGTTCGGCACGTGGCAAACGGGCCAGCCACAAGCGAGTGTGGACACAGAAAGACTCACACCAGCTGGAGCTCCCTCCCTCAGGCCAGGGGCAGAAAGTTGAAGCTGGGCAAGGGGTTGAGACACTTGGTTTTTTCCCCGAAGCTGGGGGGGGTGGGAGTGGGAGTGGGTGGGAGTTTGAGAACAAGAGAGGGAGGTAAAGGGAGGTAAAAGAGCAGAGCAGAACCCAGCTGGCGCGCGGCCGCCCTCTGCCGGGCACACGGGCTCACTGCAGCAGCAAGAAGGCCGGCCCCTGGGAACAGATGGCAGAAACAAGGTCCTGACAAAGCAAACTTTATTGTGGCCCCGAGGTTGGAGCTTTTCCCTCCAGGTCCTGCTGAAACTCGAGAGTTGGGAGTGAGGGCCTCTTGTGTCGCCCCCAACACTCCATCCCATTCAGACTCAGATGGAGAGAGGCTGCGTAGGGGGGAACCTGGGGAACGCGCCGAGGAAGGCCACCCTGCATGTGCTCTAGCTGGCTCTCCCTTGGTCCCTGCAGCCAGGCCACTCCTGGCTCCTCATTTCTTGAATCCCGGCTTTTTGGGTTTGAGTGTGGGTTTGGCCTATGGAGAGAAGGGGGGGCGCCAGTGTCCCACTCCCTCCCCCTCCTCCCCCCCCCCAGGACCAGCCCCTTCTCCTGGTACTCACCTTTTTCACAGGACTCTTGTCTTTAAGCCTGGGTCTGGAATTGGGTGGGGTGGGGCAAGGAGAGGGGATGTGGGTGGGAAGGAGAGAGCACTCAGCCTGACACCAGTAGCCCAGACCCTCGCAGTGCCCACACTGAAAGCAGGGGGCTGTGACCTGGAGAGTTGGAAGCTGCCGAGAATTTACCTCTCCGCCTGTCACCTGCCGGGGACCACTCTGTCTTATTTTAAACAAGATGTTTTGTTCTTCTCAGGCTTCCATCTGCTTTCTTTTATTTATCACAAATGGGTCTTTTTCATTATAAAAGTAATGTTCAACTACGTTGCACAATATATAGCAAATAGAGATTAAATTACTTATTTTCTTTATTTCCCCACCAGTATTAACATTTTGGTGCGTTTCCCTTCAGGGTTTTTTGCTTTGTTTTCTTCTAAAAGCATATGAAATAACATGAATATGACTTAATATCCTGCTTTAAAAATTCAATAAACACTTTCCAGGATGCTATATTCTTCATAGGCACCAGGTCACATGCCATTGGGAAAATGTGACATGGCTCAATCAAATACTATATTGGCCAACATTTGGAATGCTTCCATTTTTTACTGTTACTTGAATAATGCATATCTCAGTGCCTATCATTTTACCCATATTTTGGGTGGGCTCCTTCGGAAGGAATTGCCGTAAGTGGAATTAGGGCGAAAGGTAAGCATACTTTAAGGCTTCCCCAGAGGCTGCGGCAGGAGGCTCATACCCGCGTGCACACATGGCAGGCCCCTTCTAGCCCCACGTACCCCCGCTACAAGATCGCGGCCGACTTAATAGAGGGAAAGAGTTACCTCACGGCCTCCTCTGCCTTCTCCACCTTCTTTTTCTGGGAAGCAAACACAAGCGGCACGGCCTGCCGCTGAGCGCCCGGCGGGCCCTGGCCAGGCTTCGCACATTCAGGCACCCAGCCCGCGGCGGGCCTGGCCCCCTTCTGGGGAGCCTCTGGGGGTCCCTTGCCTCACCTTGGCAACGCTGGTCTGCTTCTGGGGCGCCAGCCTCTTGACTTGTTTAAGAGGGGTCTCCTCCTCCAGGGACACATCTACGTCGTCGTCGTCCTCGTCGTCGTCGTCAACCTCGCCGCTGTCACCTTCCTCCTCCTCCTCCTCCTCGTCCAGCGCCTCCTCCTCTTCCTCCCAGGACGGGTCTGCAGCGTCTGCGGCGCAGGGAAGGGGGAGGGCCGCGGAGCTCCGGGTCTCTGGCGAGCTCCCGTTCCGCCATGGGTCTCGCCGTCAGAGCTGCCCTGGGGAAGCCAGCACCTGCCACCTCCTCTAGACCCTTTCTGGCCTCTCTGACAAAGTGGAGGCTCGGGTGATGTGAGGGGCCCGGAACCCCGGAGAAGCCGGGGTGGCAGGGGAGGGCAGGGGAGGGCAGCGGAAGGGACCCGCCGTGGCTCTGGCTGGGAAGCAGTCAGGCGAGGGAGGGTGGGCGGAGGGTGCCAGCGAAGGGGGCGGCTGAGGAATGCGGACCTCATCCTGAGTGAAGGAGAGCCTTGCCAGGGTCTTGGGGTAGGGCAGTGCCCTGACGAAAGAGGGACAACCGCACAGAGGAGGCCAGGAAGAGTTGGCGGCGCGGCGGCTTGCTGGGGTCCTTACGGCCCCTCCAGCCACGCGCCTCACAGCAGCTGACACTCTCAGTGCGGTAGCACGAGGCACCCCGCAAACTGCTTTTTTCTGGATGTCCCGTTTATTCCTCCCAGCTGCTCTTTGAAGATGAAACCAAGTATACCCCCACCCTGGTGTTACAGGCAAGGGGACTGTGGCCCACAGAGGCAGGGGGGTAAAGCAGGACTCCCAGTCCAGACTACTGGCAAACACGTTGCCTTTGGGGATTTTTGCTAATAACTCAAGAATCCCTCCAGCGTTGGAGTGCCGGTTCCCCCCTTGGCCCTGGGTGCTAGGTACTGCACTCTGAGACCTTCCCCAGGTCCAAGCTCTGACTTACCGTAAAGTTCCTGGCCACTGAGGAACACAGGTCCAGAGCCAGCCCGGAGCTGGAAAGTGACTGGAGGAGAAAGCTCCAGTCCCATCAGAACGACCTGCAGGGGGAGGGATGCAGGGGCAGGAGTGGAGAAGATGGGCTCACTCACCCCTGGAGGCTGCCTGGGAGCTGCTCTCTGGCAGAAACACTCAGAACTGATTCCCTAAACCCCAACTACACACACTTCAGGTTCTCTGGGCCTCACTGTGTCATCAGCCCCTTCCTGTTGAGGTGGATTCTGTCAGAGAAGAATGTGAATCTGATAACCCCGCTCTTGTTAAAGATCCCAGACAGGCTTCCAAGCTGAGGGGCAGCTGTTCAGTAGAGAAGTGTGATTGCCACCGACTGAACTGTATCCCCCAAATTCTTATGTGAAGCCCTAACCTCCAGTGTGAGGATATTTGGAGGTGGGGCCTTTGAGAGGCAGTTAGGATTAGATGAGGTCATGAGAGCTGGGCCCTCATGATGGGATGAGTGCCCTTATAAAGGAGGCCAGAGGCTTCCCTCTGTCTCTGTCTCTCTGCCGTGTGAGGACAGAGAGAGCAGGCGGCCATCTGCAAGCCAGGAAGAGGGTCCCTCCCCATATGCGACCTTGCTGGCACCCTGGTCTCAGACGTTCAGAACTGTGACAAAATAAATGCCCCTCACTCTATGGTATTTTGTTATGGCGGCCCACCTGAATAAGAGACGAATCAAAGGAGAAAAGCAGACACAAAGTGGTATGTACAGTACCAGTAGTGTGTGGATATACATATGAATAAAGTTAGACTTCTCTTAAGTATGAACCATAATTTTCAGGGGACAGTACGATATTTCCTTTCCTTATACTTCTCCAAACTTTCCAAATTTTCTGGAGTATCAATGATGATACTCCCATTTATTGACTGCCTACCATGTGCCAGGCCCTATGCTAAGCATTTTACAGGCTTTATTTATCGAACCCCTCAGGACAATCCCATGATGGAGGTGCCATGACTTTACAGAGGAGGGAACTGAGGCTTAGGGAGATTAATTTAGAGTTTTGGGCTCAGACAGGAAGGAGATAAATGAAAACTGAAACTCTGCAGCCATCAACACCCAGAAATGCTGGATAAAATATACTCCAATGTTTTCATTGCATGGCTGAATAGTAAGACAGAAGAGGTCCCATGCACCAGAAAAGAAGGGGCAGCGTGGCAAGCACAGGTGCCGTAAGCAGCTGAGGGGGAGATATGCCTGAAAACAGCTCTGGCCTTGAGTTTAAGATCTTATTTATTTATTTGCCAGAGAGAGAGAGAGAGAGAGAGAGAAAGAGAGAGAGAGAGAGGCAGGCAGAGGGAGAAGCAGGGTCCCCACTGAACAAGGAGCCCAATTGCGGGACTTGATCCCAGGACCCTAGGATCATGACCTGAGCCAAAGGCAGATGCTTAACCAACTGAGCCACCCAGGCATCCCGTGGCCTTAGGTTTTAACACAAACTCATGGACAGGAGACAGGGCCTGGGTTCAAAAGAGGAACGCTGTCACAGAGCCCGCTGAATGGAGGCTAGGACCCTCTAAGGGTTGCACCTCAGTAAAAAGCTCCAGGGTTGGGGAGAGGCTAGGAACTGCAGAATTCCAAACCCACCTACTAGGAACTCCCCCTCCCCCCACCACTGAAGGAAGGAAATGCAAGGGGGATAAATAAGTTTCCTGTGAGAACCTGTACTCACAGGCTGTACCTCCCTCCCACACAAAGTTTGAATTCACTTGGTGAGTACTGCCAAGTCCAGAAACTTGTATAGAATCCCAGACTGGTGACATTCCTGGGCAAATGGCAGACACAAATACAAAACTGTTCTCTTGGGACACTTGTCAATTTTTTTCACATGGAATTCTTTAAGAGAAAAAAACAAGACCCTGAAGACAGCTCCTCATCTAAAAATCACAAAAAACATACAAGACACAATCCTGCTAGAGTGAGCAGAAGGAAACAAGATGACCGCAGACCAGCACAAGCAAGAACCTGAGATAAAAGAAAAACAATCTAAACAATTGTGAAATTAGATTGATGAAAATCAAATAAACAAAAGTAGGAATCAGAACTGTAAGAACAGGTATTAGGAGAAATAAAAAGAACCAAATGCAGCTTCTAGACTGAACAAAGGGTTAAAAAGCAGAATAAACCAGCTAAAACAAGGATCAGGAAACTGGAATTGTGCTGTGAAGAAACTGCCCGGTATGCAGCACATCGAGACAGATGAACAAAATACGAAAGAGAAGCTGAGAGGTATGGAGGACAGAATGAGCAGATCTAACATGCATCTCATCACAGTAAGGGACTAAAAGTAATGGAATCAATATGCAAAGTGATAACCAAGAGCTTCTAGAAACCGTCAAGGACACAGATCCTCACATCCAGGAAACCTAAGTTCTGAACAGATAAAAATAAATGTACACCTGAACATCCCACAGTGAAATGGTGGATAGCAAAAACAAAGAGGTTATCTTAAAATAAACCAGAGAGGAAAGACAGATTTCCAAAAAAGGAACAATAATCAGACAGACTGAAGGTTTTGACAGCAACGTCAAAAACCAGAAGAATAGAATGACATCTTCAAAGTTTCGAGGGAAACTCCCCTCTTTGTAGAATTATACACAGCCAAACTATCATGAAGCAATGAGGGTAAAATAAAGATATTTCCAGGCAAAGCCCAAGTAAGTTCACTACTCCCAGACCTACTCAATGAGGTGTCAAAAAGATGACAATTACTGGTGCAGCCATTCTGGAAAATAGTATGGAGTTTCCTCCTGTTCCTTAAAAACAGTAGGGAGGTAGCCTATGACCCAGCAATTGCACTACTAGGTATTTATCCAAAGGATACAAACATAGTGATCTGAAGGGGCACATGCACCCTAATGTTTATAGCAGCAATGTCCACAATAGCCAAACTATGGAAGGAGCCCATATGTCCATTGACAGATGAATGGATAAAGAAGAGGTGGTATAGAGAGGGAGACAAACCATAAGAGACTCACAATCTTAGGAAACAAACTGAGGGTTGCTGGAGAGGAGAGGGGTGGGGGGATGGGGTAACTGGGTGATGGACAATGGGGAGGGTATGTGTTGTAATGAGCACTGGGTGTCATGTAAGATTGATGAATCACAGACCCGGACCCCTGAAACAAATAATATATGTTAATTAATTGAATTTAAATTAAAAAACAAAACAAAAGAAGAGGTGGTACACACACACACACACACACACACACACACACACACACACACACGAATATTACTCAGCCATCAAAAAGCATGAAATTTTGCCATTTGCAACGACATGGATGGAACTAGAGGGTATTATGCTAAGTGAAGTAAGTCCATCAGAGAAAGACAAATACCATATGATTTCATGCATATGTGGAACTTGAGAAACAAAACATGAACACAGGGGAAGGGAAGGAAAAATGAGATAAAAACAGAGAGAGGGGGGCAAACCATAATAGACACTTAACTCCAGGAAACCGAGGATTGCTGGAGGGAATGGGGGTGGGGGCATGCAGTAACTGGGTGATGGGCCTTAAGGGGGGCATGTGATGTGATGAGCACTAGGTGTTAAATACAACTGATGAATCACTGAATTCTACCCCTGAAACTAAGACTACAGTATATGTTAACTAAATTGAATTTAAAGAATTTTTTTTTAAAAGAGGACAATTACATGGAAAAGGAAGAGGTGGATACAAGCAGCAGTGGGGTGAGCAAGAAACTTGGTCAACAAAGAAAAATCCAAGCAAGCATTATTGTAAAACGAAATCATACTAGTATTGACTAGTATTGAGTGGGTTTAAAACAAGCTGAAGCTAAGACACTGCATGATAACAGGTAAGTTAAGAAGAAGGTAATTAGAAAATCTCCCCTGATTGTTTGGGAGGAGGAATAGAATATTAATTTTAGACTAATCATGCATGATTGTTAAAAAATTAATAATAAAAATCAGAATGAGATTCAACAGCTTCCAAACCAATAGAAAAGGGGAAAAGAAACCTTAATCTGATAAAAGACAGAAAAAGGAGATAAAAGAAAAACAAAACATGAAAAAGCAAGGAATATAGAATCACAAAGTACATATTACAAATAAATCCAAGTATATTAGCATCACAGTAAACATAAATGGACTATATTGGTCAGATAGATTAACATGGAACGTAGCTACTTACTGCTTATAAGATACATGCCTAAAACATAAGCACATGGAAATGTTGAAGAAAAGACATGGAAGCATACCTAGCAGGTGTGGCAGAGGCTTCTCAAGGCTACTGCAATATCCATTCTTCCCTTTTTCCATAATAGCAGTGTCCTGATACTATTCAAATACTGTACCCACCGAAGACTGTATTCCTGAGTTTCCTGTGTAGTTGGCTGTGATCATGTTACTAATTTCTGGACCAATGAGTTATAAGTAGAATTTGGTGGGTGGTGCTTGTGTGAAGACTCCTTAAGAGGTAGACAGAGAACTGAGAAAAGTCCCTTTGGTCTCCCCCTGTTTCTTCTCGCCTATTACCCTAAATGCAGAAGTGAGAGCTGGAGCTGCAGCAGCCTTCTTGGACTCTAAGATGATCTTGAGGATGGAAGTTTTGAACCCAGGAGAGAAGAAAGAGAAGAGAAGCCTGGGTCTTTGGTGACCATCGAGCCATCTTACCAGCCTTGTACTGCCTATGTCTGGATGTCTTCCAACCAAGACAGAAACGAATCTCGAATGTGTTTGAGTCCCTGGAGTTGGGTCTCTGTTACTGCAAACATAACTATCTAAAACAAAAATGAAGCTAGCTGTATTTGTTAGGATTCGGTTTGGTAACAAGCCGCAGAAAACTCAATGCCGGTGGCTTATACAACACAGAAGCTTATTTCTTTATCACATAAACTCAATCTGGATAGAAGCAGTCAGCTGTGGGTATATACTGCTCTTCAGTCATCAGGGATGCAGGTTCTTCCTATTGTGTTACTCCACCATCTTTAATACATGGCTTCCACCTTCTGGTCCAGGATGGCTGCTCACGTTCTAGCCATCACATCCATATTCCAGCCAGCAGGATGGAG